ATCTAAGGTCATGTAGCACTATAGTTAATGTTAGTGAAGGGTGGTTGAGTTAGTGATTAGTTGTCTAAGCTGGGCAAAGGAATTGGTGAGTGAAAGGGTTAAGGTCGGGAGTTAGATTAGATAAAGGATATGTATGCGTTTGAGGAAAGAGAACAGGTTGTTGATGCAGAAAGTGTGGGATTCTGTAAGGATGTCTGATAGGTTGGGAGGTCGGTGAAGGGAGGATAGGTAGGGGGAAAGCAGAGGTATGGGCTGCTTCAAAACGTGGGCATGACAATAGGATGTGTACGATTGAAAGGGGAACATTACATAAGGAACATAGGGGTGGATCAGATTGTGACATCAGATAGGAGTGTGTTAGACGGGTGTGGCCAATGCGTAAGTGGGCGAGAGCGGTCTCCCAACGTCTGTTCCGATGAAATGGAGCTGACCAGGAGGAGATTGATAGTTTTACAGAATGTAATTTATTAGTGTGGAGGCTTGACCAAAAAGATTGCCATCGCTTATACAAGAAGGTCTTAAAGTGTGGGAAATAATCCGTGGCTGGGATACGTGAGAAGTGTGGTTGTTATGATGTGGACATAGCAGCGTGGCATATGATATAGAAGAAACAATGAATAGATATTAGAGAGTAATTTTTGCCATTCCTAATGTTAGCATAATGGATATGCAATATATCATTAGAAAATGTTATTTATTCACTTTATTTTAAAGTACACTAATGTATTCATAAATAAATTGTGTGCTCTTATTCTAACATTGACTGCCTTCTGTTTTTATATAATTTTCTTTGCAACCAAACATCTTGAATAATATAAATTTGTAATGAAGTAAAAAGCATACTAGTATGAATAGCACTACTTCTATTTGTAAATAAGTCAAATGATTTAGGAGAAGGCTATATTTGAAAGAATGGTCAACTGCATATGAAGAATGCAATATCCTCTAGTGGTCCCAAACAAAAATGAGGTATCTTGTCAATCTAGCAAGAATTAAAAAATAACAATTTAGCTAAGTAGACATATAAAATCGGAAAAAAATGACTTAGAAAGAAAGATAATAATTCTGGAAATACTTGCACTTTAGTCTCAATAAAGTAATGCTCTAATGCTAGCTGCTTACCAAGAGAACCTGAATGAAGATGGCAATATTCTTATAGCAGATGTTAAGGCAGTGATGATCAACCTAAGTTGTGTCATTCTAAGGCAACAACCAAATGTACTACCTTTAATTATACATTATGAAATGGTAAACACAGGGGATCTCATCTTTTGATTGAATAACAGAAATGTTTCACCAAGAGAAAATTACAAGCAGGGTTTATAACAAAGGAAGTTTTATAATACCCAATAACTGTAGGATGATGACAAAGTCTATATATTTTGTTACAAGCGTAGTATCTTTCTACTTTTGCTTTTTATAGTTTTTTTTAAGGGGAATATATTTTAAAAATTCTCTGAAGACTAACTAAGGAATGAAATTTAAAATGACCTAATTATATTCCAACAAATTCAACTTTGTGAGAAGCCACTATCACAGACGTGAAAACATATCACATATTTCACAACAGGAGGTATGTTTTTTTGTTTTTTTTAGTGAAATAAATATCAACAATCACTTCTTCCTAGACAGGTATAAATTTGCTTTTGATAGCTTCATAAAAAGAAAAGGAGGTAGAATACTAGATAAATTAATGAAAGAGATAAAAAATCAGCGCCTTGATTGCACAAAGGTATTTAACAAGAACAATTGGCAGCTATTGTTTTCAAAGTCTTTCTGCTTACAAAAGCTGACAACATACAAAAAGCAGTCTTAAATTGTTTTTACGGTCCATATCTGCTTGCTAATAAAAGCCTGATTTTAATATGAATTTTAATGCACATCTTCAGGAGTAGCTGCTACACTCTACTTCAGCTTGCACCTTATACTTAAGCAATTATCAATATGACATTCATTCCATGATAATAACCACTGGAAGTTGGTAGACTTTTTCTTGCTTGACCTAAAAGCCATTTACATAACACAAGTCAATTTCCTGTGGTTTAACTAGCTGCAGGTCAACCATATTATTGTCTTTCTAGGTTGCAGCCTTATAACCAATTCATTTGTCACTCTCTGCTGTTGAGGCATTTAATGATTCTGCTCTCTGTTTATAGAGTTCTTCAACCCAGCGCTTCACCTTTGGGTGGGAGAAAGCACCTTCCGTTGTCTTGAAGAATTCCTCGAGGGATCCTAGTCTTTCCTGATCAGTTTCATATTCAAATGCTTGGAGAATCATGTCAAATTTATCCAGATCCTTTACAAAAATGGCCTCGTTTGTTTTCTGTTCTTCATATTCCTGTTAAATGAAATAAAATTTAATAAAAATCTGCAATAATCTTCCATTAGCATTGTTATTTATCAACAAAATTACATCCCAAAACATAAATCATTGTTATGTACGCATGTGTCTGTAAGTATGTGTATGTTGACATATGTGTATATATATGTATGTATATGTGTACATACATACATACACATACATACATGTACACACACACACACACACACACACACACACACACACACACACACACACACACACACACACACACACACACACACACACACACACACACACACACACACACACACACACACACAAGTATTTATATACATATGTATTTATTCATATAAGTATTTATATACATATGTATTTATTCATATAAGTATTTATATACATATGTATTTATAGATGTATGTATTCACCTATCTATGAATGTATTTATCTATCTCTCTATCTATACATATATAGTATATATATATATTCACTATCTATGTATGCACGCACGCACACGCACACACACACACACACACACACACACACACACACACACACACACACACACACACACACACACACACACACACACACACACACACACACACACACACACACACACACACACACACACACAGAGCATTTGTGTCTCCTTTTCATGAAGGTTTTTAGTCTTGTAAACACCATAGCTCTCTTCTTACATACAACTGTATATAAGGTACCCTTGCTCCTTCACCATGAAACCATCATGTGACCATATGTATCTGAATTTGTGTTCATTCATATTCATTACAGTTACATTATGCTTTACATTTTATGGTTTCATTCTGTTTGTGGTTTCATTTGGCTATGAGGAGTACTAGAAATGTATACCAGATCTGCCTGGATATAAATTGTTATGGCTGGGCTGGGGCATCTATGCACTGGACAGATAATGGGTAGTCTTGACCAATATGTATGCTTTTTTTTTCTAAATCCGGATATGTCACACAGATATTCTAGTTTGAATACCATAAAAAATTGTCATTTCCAAGGAAACTACTGAATAAAGCTGCAAAAACTATAATACCTGTCAAACTTTAAACAGACATATTAAAAAGAAGTAAAAGATTGAGAGAAGACTAATATATGCAAAAAAAACAAAACAAAAAAACAGACAGATTTAACTTCATTATCTTGTGATTTATTAGTGTAATTATTGGGCTCAACAGATTCACAGGTCAATCATGATGACAGCCAATTAATTTGGGGGCAAGTATAATCTCTTGAAGAATACATTTTTTCTAGTGTACAGATTGGATACCTAACTCTAAAATATGATAAATAATAAATAATAATAAAGAGATATAGATATATAACTCTACCTATTTATTGTGCCAAATACAATATGTGCCATGTTTCCAACAAAATATTAAAGCATTTTTGTCGAACAGTTAAGGAAAATGGGAAAAAATTCACAATAATTTTCCCAGAAAAAAAAAAAAAACTTTCTAATTAAAGCTTCTCTAATGAAATCAGATTCATATAAAAAACAATTTCAGATACTCATCCTTAGCAACACAAGTAAAATTAACTATCACAAAGCTTTGAAGAAAAAAATCAAACCATTTACGTACCAAAAAGAGGTTAAACATTTCATTTCCAGCTTTCTCCCCAACCAATTTTGTGAAATGCTCCATGGCTGCTACTTCTCGTTGATGCTTCTCCTCACTTGACACACCACAGTGGGGCGTCAAATCACCTACGATACTCTCTGCCATATCATGTACTAAGGAAATCCTCATAACTCTGTCAGAGGGAAAATTGAATAGAGTAATCATATATCTTTTATAATAGTAATTGCCTGGTATCATGATTAATTTCTTCATAATGTACTTAGAAAAAATATTAGATTTCATGATAAACTTGTAACTGCTATTAATAAGAATACATATGCAAGATGAAGGAAAATTAGGTCATCATCATAACTCACTATTGTTATCAGCAGGATCAAACTGATGATGATATTAACCCCATTTGCCCCATGTGGCAAGAATACATGCCATGCCCACTATAATACACATTTATTTATTGTATTTACACATAGATGGCTCTACAAGTTCTTAATCACCAAATAGCTAGTTATCAGAACTACCTATCTCACCTGTTTACCCTTTTCCTTTACTTTAGGAAAGGGTCTCTTTTATCATTGCATTGTCTAAAATATTTTAATGACAATTTAATAATCATAACATCAATAACAATAATAACAGTATCGATAGCAAAGGTATTAATAAGAAAAACACATTTTCCTGCCAATTCAAGGAATGGGAAAATCAGGATCGGTAACTAGAGCCTACTGACAGACTCCTTGCTGGCTGAGCACATGAAGAGCCATCTGTGTGTAACAAAATTTACCAAAAACTACAGGGGATAGAACATAAATCTGGGGCGAATGGGTTAATGACAACTATTATTTGGATGGCAAGGAAGAGGTATTTGGATTGAAGAGAATAAAGAAAAGGAGATGCAGGGGAAAATGAAAAGAAACAAATGGACAATAATAATTTAGTCTAAATCAATATAGTCTAAACCTTATAACTAAAGAAAGAAGAATTCAAATGGATTATATATATATAAATATATAAAACAATATCCAAAATCTACAAATATGGAATCTGTAATCACAGAATCAGACAAAAACAAAAACAAAACAAGAATGAAACACTTTAGCAGACAGAAGCATACCTGTCTCGATTAACATTGTCTTCCTCATCCAAAAGGAAACTCATCATTGCCATGCGGTACATGTGCCCTGATATCGTTTCTGGATCATTTATAGCACTTCGCACCCATCCTGTTCTCTTTAGGTGCTGGAAGTGCAAGGGATTGGGATGATTAAAATGTATCTATAATTAGATTACTAGATTACATAGTCAACAAGTAATAAAGGAAAGCAACATTCCGAACATGAATATGACAAATAAACATATAACATTTTTACCTTCAAACGTCCAATAGTCTTGAAGAATTCTAGACAGTTCTTAGGGGTCCCTAAAGACATTGTGGCAACTGAAGACCTTGCTCTCTGCAAAATAATAGTAATGGTGATGTCTTTTTCACAAACTGAGAATGCACTGCTAGTAGGAGAAACTGAAAGAAGACTGATGCAATAATCATAAAAATATGTGTAATTTCGGTAAATTACTGAAATCTGTCACTTGTCATATAGAAGAGTTTGAGATCAGTTGATAATGGATAAAGATTTTATTCGCATGTAATTATGGAGGGTGGTGATCTAAACACACATATCAAACTTAAATGACAATAAATAAAATACTTTGATCACAAAAAAGGAAGGACTTAATAACAAGGAAGACTGACCTGTGGGAACTACTCCCAAATTAAGGCATTTGTTACGGGAATCTTGGTTCGAGTCATTAATATTTTCTCACTGGGCTAATTTTGATGCAATTAATATCAACTTCATTACCAATTAAGTGGCTCATAATATTTTTTTTTACACCTTACCAAGAATAACGACACAATACTTGCAATTCAGACTCTCAGTTGACACAATGGCTTCTTCCACCATGCTCAGGACACCTTTCAGACGGGTTTTCACGCTAAGGAGGTACTGTACCCCCGTAGTCACTCCTGGAACGTCTTCGGGTGTGAGTGAAACATCCGCGGAAGCTCAGAATGATAAATTAGGAGGATTTGCTAAGGCGTTTGAGAGGTATACAAAGGAATCACCCGACGAGGATTCCCAGGCCGATTCTGCGCCCAAGACATTCGTGTCGCTCCTGAGGAACGGCAGGATTATGCAGGTGTGGACAGGGACGTGTATGTGTGGAATATCTATTTTTCTTTTATCTTTCTTTTTCTGTAAGTATTTAGAACACCTTCATATGACTGCTTTGTTTTATTATGCAGGGACGTGTATGTGTGAAATTTCTATTTTTCTTTTTTCTTTCTTTTTCTGTAAGAATTTAGAACACCTTTAAATGACCGTTTTGTTTTTTTTCTGTTTTGTTTTTTTTCTTTCTTTTTCTGTAAGTATTTAGAACACCTTCATATGACTGTTCATGGCGATGGTGGTATCAATAGATTCTTCTCACTCTTTACTACTATTATATGTAGAAATTATGGTAATTTATTTTTCACCTACACAAATTATGTCAGGTATCAGAGAGTGTATTTTTACCTTTGATTATGATAGTTTCATTGCATTTTCTTGTATATGTATACCAAAGTATTTTGTGTTTCACAGTTTTCTTATCTTTTCTGATGTACTATCCATTATAGTCAAAGGTGAAAGTGAAGTGCTCCTGAAATTAATGCCGCAACAATTCCCCCCAATACCCATAATCTTGGCTCACATAGCATAGGAGGTCATGAATAGTATTAACCCATTGCCGCCGGGGATGGCATGTACGTACATGCCATGCCCACTTTGAGTTGACTTGTTCGATTGTTTTTACACATAGATGGCTACACTTGTACTAAGTATCCAATGAGCCAATTACAGTACTGCCTGTCTCGCCCGTTCACCCTTTTCATCGATTTACGAAAATATTTAACGTTATCCTAATTTGCTGTTAAAAATAACACCATCTATATTTATAGCACTAGTAAAAATCCGTTTTTTCCCGCCAATTCAAGGAAAGGTGAAATCAGGACTAGCAGAGCCATCTATGGACAGAGATATTTCACAAAGATATAAAAAATGAGCACTGCATTTCCCCCATTTTTTGTTCATTTTCCCCGGCGGCAATGGGTTAAGGTAGTGGTGGGGTAAAATATGAATCATATCCAGAAAATTGGTCTTTATATAGTGTAATGCAAGGTCTGTTCCCCTTGTAAACTCCCAATAGGGGGTTTGCAGGAGAGTGATGGACTAACTCGACATGAGGCACTCTTGTATGTCAGCCATACCCTTTATCCTGCTGTGAATATGTAGAGGATTTTTTGTCTTCTAGGGTGGGGGATAGGGGTGGCCTTCCAACATTGCAATTATTATTTCTTGTTTCTGCTAGTAAAACTGTATTAAACATGATCTGTTATTGTTTTCCGTTGCAAATGATACAGGTGAAAATATTGGTAATTGTTTATGAAATGAAGCCTCTGTTACCCCAGCCCCTCCTGGGAATGCATAAACATTGCTGTATGAACCATAAACCTACCTTACCCAGGGCTTC